GATGCACATTGAACTCCCCAAGACCAAAAGCCTTGGGGACCCCAACAGTGCCGTGGAGATGAAGTCTGCCAGCTGTGGTAAGGAAATGGCTGGGTCACGGGGAGCGCAGTAATCCAGCAAAATCACTTTACCATCCCTGGCCCCAATCAACATGTGGAGGGCCTCTAGACCCCGCGTCACCAGAGCACAGCGCCTAGCAACCTGAAGGATGTTTTTGTAAACAATGGCTACTCCCCACCCTACACCTCGAGTCTACCCTGGTGTTGGTTATATACATGCACACAGAGGCATATCAGATTCCAGTTTGAAGAAACTGGAGTCTGGACAACAGCTGTGGTGATAAATTGGTGAAAACAAAAGAGCAAATGAGATATATGCCTAATGAAGAGTAATAGAAGCCAACACCTGTCGACCTCTGTATTGGTGGAAAACAATACAGCATCCTGCCTTGTGAAATGGAGAACATTGCTTTCTTACACATCAGACAGGTGACATTCTATCTGTTCAAGAGTTGAGGAAAGTAATGGAACATTTTCTGAGGAATGGTTTAGAAATTCTCACATCTCCTTCCTTACTTTCTGAGACCCAGATATGTTTGCTTCAAACAAATCTATTTTTTAACGAAGTACAGTGTAAGTCTCCTTTATACTATAATTAGCATTATCTTTTTTGAAGTTTCCCTTGCCAAGTTTACTTAAAGTAGTTGCTTGTTAGGAAAGAGTGTCTCAGGCAAAAACAAAAGAAAAAGAAAAATTAAAAAAGACAAAAAACATTGTGACTAACAGTTCCCTTTTTAAAAAAATAATAATTTTGAAATATGTAGAAATACAAAAGGAAAAAAACAGAAAAAGTCATATATTTCATATTTTTTGAGGACAACTGGCAGTCTATTTACATAGTTTATATAGCCTTGTTATTTTAACATCTGTAAAGGTAAAGATTCCCCTTGACAATTAAGTCCAGTTGTGTCCGACTCTGGGGGCCAGTGCTCATCCCCGTTCGTAAGCCAAAGAGCCAGCATTTGTCCGAAGACAGTTTCCGTGGTCACGTGGCGGCATGACTAGACACAGAATGCCGTGACCTTCCCACCGAGGTGGTACTATTCATTGACTTGCCTTTGCATGCTTTTGAACTGCTAGTTTAGCAAGAGCTGGGACAAGCCAAGGAAGCTCACTCCATCTCTCAGATTCGAACTACCAACCTTTCAATGGATGGCCCAGTGGCTCAGCAGTTTAACCCGCAGTGCCCTCTTGTTATGCCCCTTTTTTTTACATAAGAAGCTCCTAATCTTTAAAAATCTGATGCCAAGAAGATACAATAGGATCAACATAGAATAGCTGTAGATTGATGTTGTCTGGTAATAAATGGATGAAATTTCAATCTCAGCTGGTCTTTGGAGAATTTACCAGCATTCACATATTCTCATAGAAAAGCCTTGAAGTTTCAAAACATTCAAATGAAAAGAAAGTGAAACTCATAGATTTCCCCCGAGCCTCTCTGAATGTCAAAACTGGGTTGCATCCTGCTCTTATTTCAAGGGCACGGGAAGAAAAAAAAAACAATCCAACCCTCCTTTTCCATCCAGAACTACCCATATTTTCCATGTATAAGACTATACTTCTGTCTAAAATCTTTAGACTCAAAATTGAGGGTCGTCTTATACACGGAGGTAAGCTAGGGAGAGAACAAAAACAAGTGGAGAGGAAAGCAGGGATCAAAGCGATCCTGCAGCGCTTTGATCCCTTCCCCCCTGCACTTGCTAAACCCCACTTAGATTTCTTAATTTTGGGTTAGAAAAGTGGGGGACAGTGTCTTACACATGGAGGCGTCTTATACACAGAAAAATACGGTAAATTGTTCTGACCTGCTGGACATTTTGCCCTTTGGTGACGTACTCATTCCCTACTTTGACTCTTGGGTGGCAGAGGCCTTTAAGCAGATCAGCTGAGTTGAGACCCATCAAGTAAGCTGATTTGTCGGCTTCTGCAAATATGGAGTAAAACGCTGGGTTAAACAAAGGTCGCAACCTTGCATGCTGCTTTTGGTCAGGTTGACGGGGGTGGGGGGGAAGGGATCTTTCAGAAAGAAAGGCTGGTAAAATCCTCTGCTGTACCTCATTACTTTGCTTGAGGAGGCTTTGGGTATGCCCAGCATTCAACAGAAGCCTAGAATCTGAGTTTTCATTTTAACATCAAGTTTCTAGTCCTTCAGAGACTATAAAGGATGTCCAGGTGGAGAACGTAGGTCAAGCCCCATTGATTTCAATGGGGGTATTCTTAGTATGCCAAAATTAAAGCTGGTAAGTCATATGTTCGGTTTAATACATTAATATTAAACTAGTTCCTTTCCTGTGAAGCAGGGAGAACACCTCCAACCTTAAGAAACGAATGTTTTGAAAGGAACATTAATCATTTCAAAACATGACTTTTAAAATCTCGTTCCCGAGATGCCTTAGCTAGCGTGTCCCTCTGTTTAAAGCAGAAATGATGATTTTAGCCTTAATTTGTTACATGGACGTGTTACGTCCAAGCGGAGGTCTAAACCTGGATGCAAACCGATGCATCGTCCGCTCACTAACGAGACACAGAGTCTTTGAAAGACTTCCTGCTTTCTGATCCTTCTTTGGGCCGCCTTTAGCCATGCACCCGTTACTTGTTTTAGAAACGTTTTGCCAAACCTTCCGTTCCGTCAGGCTCCGCTTGCTCCTCGCGCTGCTTCTGCTTGAATTTCATATTCCCGTAGTGCATGATGGCTCCGGTCAACTTGTAGATGGAATTTTTCTCTTCCTGGGTGAAGCCTAAGATGTCAAAGGCACTCTGCGTTGGAAAGAAAGGAGAAAAGGATTGTCTATCGGCCCAGGAGCAACCGAGGTCAGGTGTCGATGCATTGTTCAACTTTAGAGCCTGTGTCCCACCACTGGAATAAACCAGGTACAATGGTGCCTCACTTAACAACATTAATTCGTTGCAGCGAAATCGCTGTAGAGCGAAAACGTCGTAAAGCGAAATTAAAAAGCCCATTGAAATGCACTTAAAACTGTTCAATGCGTTCCGATGGGCTGAAAACTCACAGTCCAGCGAAGATCCTCCATAGGAGCGGCCATTTTCGGTGTCTGTAGAGTGAGGAATCCGTCCAAAAGTACAGTGGGGAGCCATTTTGAGCACCCGGTGCCCATTTTGAAAACCCGACGATCAGCTGTTTTGATCATCGTAATGCGAAGAATCGGTTCCCGAAGCAGAGAACCGATCTTCGCAAAGCGAAAAAAAACCATTTAAAACATTGTTTTGCAATCGCAATTGCAATCGTAAAACGGATTCGTCGTTATATGGGGCAATCGTTAAGCGGGGCCGACTGTATTTTTTTGGATTCAGGTGAAAGCCACATGGAATTTAGCCCAAATTCCAAACTTTCCTTGCAATGTGTTTATCCTCACCTTGCCACCTCGGACACCCTGGTGCCACTGCTGTTGCTGCCTTCCCTATCAGGTGGCAAGAGGGCGGGCACCAGATTTTTCAGCAAGCCCAGTATTGTACTTTTATTGATTTGTTTATTTTATTCCCGCTGTCTGGTGGCAGGAATTTAAAAAGAAAGCCGGTGGGGGCGTTCACAAAGGCCAAAGCGATGCCAATGAATCAATTCCACCTTTGGCCCCCGATGGTCAGACCTCCGGCAACAGAGGAGAAACATTCACTTCCTGGACACAATGCTACACATGCTCACGTTCCTTGTGTTTATGCTAAAACTGGCATTTTTTTTAAAAAAAAGAGAACCTTTTTTTGCCAGTGGAATTGAGCCCGTAGGACGCCATTCCAATAGCAGTACTCACGTCCGTTGCTAACAGCTCCTCTGCATCATCAATGGAGGGCACTGTTGTCTCTCCTTGAGAGATGAAGGCATAGTCATAGGGGTTGTTGGTGATCAGCATCATGTCTGGAAAGTGAGACATTGCGATAGGTTGGCGGGGCAAAGAGGTAAGGCAAACAGGGCCATTTCCTATTGGTTCTCCCACTACTGGACAACTCAGGGGTTTAAGAACTTGACTACGGAGCCAGAGGTTGTGGGTTCGATTCCCCACTGGGCCTCCCTGAGAGGGGTCAGAATTGTTGATCCCTAGGATCGCTTCCAGCATTGTAGTGAGAGGGGTCAGTATTGATGATCCCTAGGATCGCTTCCAGCATTGTAGTTCTACCGTAAGATGATGATGATTGCCAAATAACAAACATGGGTCCAGATTAAGATAGCTTGTCTTCAAAAGAAGATGGAACTCAATGTGATCGACATGGCCAAATCAAAGCAGGAGATGGTGGAGAAATTCTTAGCCACTGACTGTGAACCCCAAAAATGGCTGGAGGGGACTCGTCACAAACTATCAGAATTGGTGGTGGATTGGTTTTGTTCTAAGATAAATACAGAAGATCTGGCTTGTATTAATAGGACTGGAAGGGATATGTCAACTCAACAAGACAAGGGAATGGGAGACCTTATAATCTAGTCATATATTTGACACCCATCCCCTGAGGATCATCAAAACTGCAAGGAAGTGTCTGATGATGATTGCTCTGAAGACCTGTTGAACAGAGCAACCGTAGCATCTAGAGTTCCCCTGTTCAGTGCAACATTTCATAGGCTAATTAAACATGACAAGATAGCCCTTCTACTCAACCCAACGGGTGAAGACGCAACGCCGCTACAGCTCATTGAACTAGGCTGAACTCACGTTTTTGTCAAGGAGGTTGAAGAAGACCACTGGACAAGGCCCTTCACCAACCCAACTTCATGCTTTTGGAGGAAGACTCACCCAGAAGTTCAGGCTTCTTGTTGGACAAGATCTGGTAGTAGATATGATAGTCCCTCTCAGATTTTAGCTGGAAGATCACTCGAGACTTTTCAAGGAGATCTAAGAAAAAAAGGATAAAGAAGTTGAGAGAATAGGAACGGGTAGCCACGCAAGAGAGGTACTCATTTTTTAAAAAAGATCAGCAAACAAGACAGAAGATATTAAGGCCAAAGAGTCAGGACTCACAGGTCTCTATGTCAGCTGATGCCAACTTTCCTGTGGCTCCAAAATGGATCCGGATGAATTTACCCTGAAAGCAAAAAAGGAGAAACGATGTTGTGTGTTGGGGTGGGGAGGCAGGCAAAAGGAGATGGGGATGAGTTATGACCTCCACACATCAGAGAGTGTGGAGAGACCTCCTTTAAGGCCAGCGGCTTCTCATTCTCTCAGATTTTGGAGCCCAAAGCTAAGACTTAGAAGCAAATCCTGGTGATGCTACTGGGCTGGGATCCTTGGAATGTCAAAGAGGCAGGAGAGACGACATTTGGGAATGAGAAACCACTGCAGCAGCCACAAGCACCGAGCTAGTGAACTAGAAATAAGTGGTGCTAGATGCCCAGAGAAATCAAACACAGTAGGACCCCTTTATCTGCTGATTCACTCATCCACAGTCTGAAAACATTAAAATATTAAAAGAAAAATCCCCAATAAATACTGTACCTATTTTAACAATGAAGTTTCCATTAGAGGAAACCAGAGACTATGATATGTATAGCATTTGCTCTCATAATAACATTGTAATAATCTACATTTTCCAGCATTTTTCCCGCTTGGAACTGATTCCCCACAGATGCGGGAGTCACAAAAATCAAAATAATCTATTCCCCCAGGGCTACTTTCCTTAAGATCTGTGGCTGGCCGTTGAGACTTGAGTCAGCACACGGAGACCTGGCCGCCCCCTCTTTCTCCGCTTTCAAAGTCCAGAGCGTTGCGCCACTCACAAATCGGGACGAGTTGTCGTTCCGCACGGTCTTGGCATTGCCGAAGGCTTCTAGGGCAGGGTTGGCTTGGATGATTTGATCTTCCAGAGTCCCCTGCGGGGGGTGCAAAAAGTTAGAATCATTTCCCTTGTGGCACAGGGGTGGGAATCGCGCACCCCGAGTGCCCCGGTTTTTAGCCTCTCAAAGAGATCGAGGTGCAGTTCAACAAGCTGGGTTCCTCCATCTTGGATCACTAAAATTTCAAGAAAAGAAACCATACCCTCGTACACAACTCAGGGGGTTGACAAGTGGGCTGTCGGACAAGATGGAAAGCAGATGACCAATGGGAAGGATCATAGCAATAAGCAACCAAAGAAGAAAGGTGGAAAAACGGCAGGTCCCCCTTCCCACCGTCTCCAGCTCTCAGCCACTCTGGTTTGTTCTGGCCCGTCCAGGAGAAGCTTTCGAATTCTGGACCAAACATAGCTAAGGCATCCTTTCCCCCAAACCTCCTCTTCTTGTAATCAGTGTAACATGTAGCCCAGCTATCGGAGCTTACCTTCCCAGTACTTGCCGCTTGGTCTTTCTTGCTACGGTCCCCGATGGCGGCAATCACGGCGAAGTACTGGATCACCCGTTTGGTGTTCACCGTCTTCCCTGCACCGGATTCTCCGCTGTCGGTAGAGAGCAGAGATGGGAAAGGTTACGTTTCCAGACTCTTGGTGCTAGAAATGCAAGCTTGCAGAACGGGTCGATAGCCCGATCCTTGGAAGAGGGAAAGGAGGTGGCTGGCTGGCTCACATGCTCATCCCGTTTTTCTGCATATACAGAGGCACCTGGGGAAAGCCACAAACTCCCAGAAGCCTTCAACCGCTAGCGGTGCGGGCCAGGATTTCTGGGGGCGGTCGTCCAAGAACATCCGGGGAACCCAAGCCTGGGAACCACTACTGTTGACCTTCTTCAAAATGTATCCCCCTTTGGTTACCCAAGTATAGTGGTGCCTCGCTAGACATTTACCCTGCATGACCGTTTTTTCGCTAGACACTGACTTTTTGCTATCGCTATAGCGATTCGCAAAACAGTGATTCCTATGGGGGAATTTCGCTGGACAATGTTTGGTCCCTGCTTCGCAAACCAATTTTCGCTAGACAACGATCTTGACAGCTCCCTCCATGATCAGAAAACGGGTGCTTTCGGGACCTAAGCTTTGCAAGCCAGCTGTTTAAACAGCTGATTGGTGGTTCACAAAGCCGATCTTCGCTAGACAACGATGATTCTTCCCCATTGGAACGCATTAAACAGGTTTCAATGGATTCCAATGGGGAAATGCTTTTTGCTAGACAATGATTTCGCTAAACTGCTATTTCAGTGGAATGGATTATCATCATCTAGCGAGGCACTACTGTAGCACCACCTGCTTCTTTTTGCATTACGGATAAGCGATGGTGTCTTTGAAATCAACAAGGGAGCAGTTGGTAGTTGAAGCCAATTTGGGTGGCTTTTTTCCCCCAAGGGACCAAGGGAAAGGTTAGTTATGGCTCTGGCTTCAACAGAGTCTCCGATCCACGGCTGCTGAGCCGTACAGAATAGAGGGCACATTTGGGGCGTTCAAAACGTCCCAGAGGTACAGGCCGAAGGAGAGGGGGGCACTTACGTGATGAGGATAGACTGGTTCTCCCGGTCTAAGGAGAGACAGAGAAAGAAGAATGAAAACAGAGGAGGAGGAGGAAGTAACCACGAAGAAGAAAGACAAAGAGCCAGGGGAAGAAAAGGAAGGAAATAGCAAACCAAAGGAGGAAGGAAATAAGGCAAGGGTGCATATTCAGCTATTCAAGGGGAGTCTTTGTTCATCCCCAGGAGCTTCCTGGATCCCTGAGCACCCCACCCCTTTATGACCAGAGTGTTTTTAAATCCAAAATTAATCCCTCCCTAGACCCACTGCTGTTGCCCAGCCCTGAAATAAGACCACAGTGGAAATGGTGCAACCTAGTAGGACCCCCCTTTATCCACTAGATCCATATCCGCCAATTCTCTTATCCACACTCTGACTATATTAAAAATATTAAAAGAAAAATCCTAGAAATATCTATTTCGAAAGTTGAAGTTACCCTAACTGACCACTAGAGGGAATCAGAGACCATGATATGTATAGCCTTCGCTATTATAATAGCATTTGATATAATCCGCGTTTTCAGTATCTGCAGAGGGGCTTGGAATTGATCCCACACAGATACTGGGGGGGGCTACTGTAGCATTTTCCTCCCACCGGACCCTTCCTCTTTCTCTCCCCCCCCCCCCCGGTTCTCCTTTACCTGTCAGCATGTATTGGTACGCGTTGTCAGAGATGGAGAAGATGTGGGGTGGGGCTTCGCTGCGCTTCTTCCCCCGATAAGCGGCCACCACTTCCGCATTGTAGACCGGCAACCACTTATAGGGGTTTACAGTCACGCAGAAGAGCCCGGAATAAGTCTAGAGGAGGAGAAGGAGGAAGAATGGGAAAGAGGGCTGGAATGATAAATGGAGTCAATGGGGAATGCTGTCCACACACAGCCTTGAGGGTGAAAATCTTGAGGGGGGGGTTGTGAAGGGAAGCTAAGAGCCCTTGGAGATCCACAGGGCCCCAGTTGTGGATTCCTCTGACGTTATTGTCTGTCGTTCCCCCACCCCATCATAAACATAACACTAGACAAGATTTTATTGTTGTTATGTACGGTTGCCTTGGGCCTGTGGGGACTCTATGAATGAGTGACCTTCAGAAAGTCCTGTCATTGGTAGCCCAGCTCAGCTCTTGCAAACGCAAGGCTGTGGCTTCCTTTATGGAATCAATCCACCTCACATTTGGTTTTCCTCTTCTCTTGCTGCCTTCAACTTTTCCTTGCTTTATTGTCTTTACTAGGAAAGATAGTGCAGGGAGGGGGCTCGGTTTGGCTTGGCTTGTGGATTCTTTTGGTCCCTCTTCTTACTTATTGACCTGTGGGCAATCTTTTTCAGTCAGAGAGCTGAATTTCTTTTGAGAGAAGTCCTGGGGAAGGGCACGGATGTACTATTAGTGGGTAGGGCCAAAGGCAAAAGCAACAGGGCCAAACATATTAGGATCTGATGGTTGTTGTAGGTTTTTCAGGCTGTCTGGCCATGATCTTGAGGTTTTTCTTCAGTCTTTGGCGAAAACACACCCTGCAAAAGGTCAACGAACTCTACCCAGCCACAAGGACCGGTGATCCCTGCACACAAAAGACCAGCTAATGACACCCATCAATCACAATGACAGATCATCTCTTCCCCCTTATCACAACAATACACCCACAACAAAAAAGCACGCCGATCACCACAATCACCCAATCGCCTAAAAAGGACAAAAAGCTGATCCCACAGCTATAAATACTCAGCTATCCCACAAACTGCACCAGAGCACAGACAAGAGTTCTGACTCCAGTCCTCTGAAGACGCCGGCCACAGAGAGACTGTTGAAACGTTAGGAAGAAAAACCTCGAGAACAAAGCCAGACAGCCTGAAAAACCTACAACCATCAGATCCCGGCCATGAAAGCCTTCGAGAATATGTACTAGGATCTCTTAGCTGAAAGCTCTTATTGACTGTGACTAAGCCCTAAAAGAGGCATTTCAAATATTTAGAATGGGGAGGGGGGGGAACCTTAAAAAAATGAAAAGCCATTTGGGAAGAAGGCAGCATTGCAATCAGGAAGACCAGAAGCCAGATTTGGCCCCAGGGCCACAGGTTCCCAACCCCCAACCTCCAATGTGATGGGCTGTCCATCGACAATATTTGCTCTTGCAACCTGTGGCTACAGAATAGTTTAATGCCGCCAGCTTCTTCTATATGAATGGTTCCCAACCTTGAGTAACCCAGGTGCTCTTGGACTACAATTCCCAGAAGCCTCCACCACCAGCTGTGCTGGCTGGGGCTTCTGGAAGTTGCAGTCCGAGAACACCTGGAGGACCCAAGGCTGGGAACCCCTGTTCCGTATGATATTCTGGCTCCTGGACTGTTGGGTGGGGTAATAATCATGCTGTCTACCCAAAGGGGTCCCCCAAGCTTACGTAAATCATCCAGGCTGCGTAGCGTTCCTTCAGATTGTAAAGGACAGCAGGCTCGTGGAGGAAAGTGAGCATGGCCATGTCTTCGATCTTGTCGAACTTGGGCGGGTTCTGCTGCATGATCTGGTCTTCTTTGACCGTCACGGTCTGTCGAGAGTCCATGTTTAAGTATCTGAACTAGTCAGGCTTGACTACCAGAGTAGGTAGCTTCTACCCTGGCCCCATTTCCCCCCTTTTTGCTCCTATAAATTAAGGCAGACCTTCCCAGTCTCGGTTCCCAAAATGTTCTTGGACTACGTCTCCCAGAAATCATGGTGGGGAAGGCTTCTGAGAGTTTTAGTCCACAGTCAGGCTTGACTTACCAGGGTAGGTTGCTTCTACCCTGGCCCCCTTTCTCCCCTTTTCGCTCCCATAAATTAAGGCAGACCTTCTTCCCAGTCTTGGTTCCCCAAACGTTCTTGGACTACATCTCCCAGAAATCATGGTGGAGAAGGCTTCTGAGAGTTTTAGTCCAAGAACATCTGGGCATCCAAGGTCGGGAACTGTTGAATTATGGACTCTGGGGAAGGGAGAAGGAAATAGCATTCGACAGAGCAAGCTGAACAAGGAATTCTGTCCCCCCTCCGAAAAATATATATATTACACAGCCTTTTCCAGTACACACCAAGCCATGATGGCTGGGGAGAAAGCAGAAACGGCATTCGAGAGACAGTGTAGAACAGAGATATAACCACTCTTGTCTTTTCCTCCCACGGAAAAATGAGACGGTGCAACTTTTTTCCCCCTCCTCACCAGAGATGACAAGGAATTTCCTGGTGCTTTAGACAAAGTTCTCACATGGATGGATAAAGTTTTGTGCAAAACCGTAGGGCCGTTGTGCAAAAATGGCCGGGTTTTGCACATAAGAGCATAATTTGCACTGCTGTATTAAAAAAATTGCCCAGACTAAGATGGCTGATGAATTCTGTAGGGATTTGAAGCATTTGGTATTTGCTTGTACCTGTCTTAAGAATAATCACTCCTGTCCCTTCTCAAAGAGAAAGGACAGTAAATATTTGCATGCATTTGTGGGAATTTTGAAAACATTGAGGGAAGAGTAAGAGCTCTTTGATTCTGAGGTGAAGGTGAGGCTCATGATGGGTTTTGAAGCTCCTCATAGAAATGTCTCATTATGTTGAGACAACCTAAATCAACGAGCAAGGGATTTAGTCAATATTCTTTCTGTCTCTACCATGGACGGATGATGTGGGTCAGAAAGGAAAACAGTGAGAACTTGGGAGATATTGTTGAAACACTGTGGATGCAAGACTAGAATGTTCCAGAAGGTTCCTTTGGATTTGCAGGAACAGAAGTGTTCCTACCTAAATATTTTGTGAACTTGGGTAGGTGGGTACTGAATCATGCCACGAGGCAAAGAGGCCTACGGAGGGCAATACCTTCCCATTCTCTGTTTCCGCGGTGACTTTGCCACCATCTTTGGAAATGATCTTAGCCTTGACGAACTCTTCCTTGTCATCGGGCACAAACACATCCTTCTTCATGTCGAAAGGCCGGTTTTGCGCTTCGATCCTCTTTTTTTCCGTCATGCGCAGGTAAGGGGCGGCAGGACCGAACTCGGCCATCTCTGCATCCGAAGACATGGCTGCAGCTGAAGCAAAAAATATTTCCAAGAGTAACATACACAGCTCTCAAATGCAGACCTGAAGGCAGTATGGAATTCGAACTCATGGTTTTCAGGGTGCAATGGCTGGAAATAGTGCCATTCACAATTCAAAGCATCAAGCATGCCTCTTTATTGAAGAGCCATTAGGCAATAGGTAGTTCACAAAGGGCCCACCAGGGGGCAGCCGTATCCTGCACGATACCTCTTTCGAAAAAGGAAGTAGTGATGCTGCCGCCCCCAAGTGGACAACAGGTGAACTGCGTGCTTAACATGATTACACCATATTGTTTCCTTGTCTGGGTTTTTTTTACAGAAATCGCACCTTTTCTAAACAGTTTTTATGCTCCACCCTAGAAAATGCTGCAGGTGGGGGAGGGCAGGCATGCTTTGAAGAAGCAGCTTTCCTGCATCCCTGGATCAAGATAATGCTCTACACATCATTACCTTTTTTTTCCTTTGTAGGATTCTGTAGGAGATCGAAAAATCAGGTGACACCACAGGCGGGGCTCCTGTTAGAAAACAGTACAGAATCAGTACCATTTAGACAGATCTTTTCTCTCCCGCACATCGCTAGCTATGACTGCACACATTCTATCATTTGTTTCTCATATCTTCCTAAGAGAGAAGACGCACAAGGACACACAATACCGTGCCAGTTATGGTTTTGCTTTATATCACACCACCAGCATGCATGAAATAATAAAAAGGATCCCCAGGGATCAACAGCAATTAACCACCTGGAAACTTCCCTTCATATTTAGTCAAAACTCTCCTGGACTGGTGGTTTACAACTTAGGGGAGACAATAAAGGACAGGGCCATTGGGTGAGAATATTTACATTACACTTTGTTATTAGCTGCTATTGAGTTATTTCTCATTTAAGGCCGTCCTAAGAGGTTTCTCAAACTGTATGAGATATTTAAGGAGTGGTTTTACTATTGCCACCTCCCAGCGATTTTCTGTGGCTAAGATGGGATTTGAACTCGGGTCTCGCCATTATAGCACATTGGCTTTCAAACTGTGCTTAATTGATTCATTGCATCAATTAATCAAGTTGATTCCGACCCACAGTGACTCTTTACAGGTAGGTACACAGCCGCTTCTTCTGATGGCGCTCTTTGACGGCGCAGCTTGCCCAGTCAAAGAACAGGTGGAATTATTATTATTATCCATTATTTAAAAAAAAAAAACACCCCAAGGTTTCAGCTTCTGAATTTCAGGCTGAAGGAATTTCACACTATAGTTCAGAGGAAAATTTCAACTCTGAAAGATCAGGTGGGTGTTCACATTTGCAAACAGGTAGGTGTATTCAAGGAAAATTTTAAAAAAAGGTATTTTTCCAAATTCAGATATGAAATACATTTGCTCTTTTAAATGGGACTTGTTCCTGAGAAGCGTAAGCCAACTTTTAAAAATGTAGTTAATGTGTGCGTGTGTGTATGTACACACACATAATTTAATTTATTTAATTATAGATTTATATAATATAATATAATATAATAATTTAATTATTTAAATATATTATTTATATATTTAATATATACAGTATATACACATAGCCTTTCTGGGCTATGTAAACTGCTTACCACTAGACTACTGGATAGATATTTGAGCGCTACAAGCGCTGGGATCAAACTTAATTTTGCAAAGGGTATTTCCAAATGCTAAATTTTTGTAAAGTACCAGGAAGAATAACTCATTTATTCAGAACTAGAAGGGTCCCCTGACATCACTTTGTTCCATGGGCGCAATTTAAGTGTGATGTATCTTGAATCAACTCGTTGAATCCAGAATTCTCTTTAAAATGGATGTCAGAAGTACATTTGCTACCCTCTCATAACTTACACACCAGCGGAAACCAAGTGTTTGGAAATGTTATCTCTTCTTCTTCCTCCTTTGAATACAACTCCCGGAATTCCCAGAATCCCAAAAATAAAAAAGACAGAACTTCTCCCACTCTTTCACAAAACACAGGAAAACTTACCTGCATCAACATGTCCCAGACGGATCCATGCAAGTTTTTTTTTAACAGTGTGTGAAATTTCCACAACCTCCATACAATATATGGGCTTATTCAAAAACACACCCATATGCCTGACTCTCTCTTTCTCTCCCAACAGAAAAAAACCTCATTTACAAAATAATGCTAGTGCACGGAGACAGATTCACTTAAAAAGAGAGAGAAAGAAATATCATAATACACATTTCGCAGTTTCACATATCAGGATACTTGTGAATGTGTGCGCTTCTTGCTTCCCTGGGTGATGCGCACAATCTGCCTTGCACTACAGATATTACGTACAAGCACCGAAGTGTGTGGCACCTATCACGACGCGCATGAAGCTTCTTCTGCATATTGCACCCCTAGTCCGTGACATCGGCCGCTACATATTTTAAATACACCCAGATTTCTTGTGCAAGGGACCTTAGTCACCTGCCAGAATGGATGTGAACCTCCTACTGCACATGGTGTCACCCACACACTTAATAATCATAATTTTTAAGGATGACAGAGTCCAGCCATTGTTCAGGAGGCACAGTGGGGGAATCAAACTCCCAACCTCTGGCTCCATAGCCCGGTGGCTAAATCACTGAGCTATCCCACACTTGCCTTTGTACATGAATGTGTGTCTAGACACCCTGCAATGCAACCCCTTGTATTCACACATGCAGCATCCTCACCGGCGGCCGGCAGCAGGGCCACCTGAATCATCTGCCTCTGATCCTCCCCTCCCCTCCCGTACGATGTGGAGAACTGGCATTGTGCCTTACCTGAGACCAGCACGGATATGGGGTTTTCTAAGCCGGGTGCATGGCCAGACCCCCTGTTATAAACCTCAGATCCCCCCTGGACCCCTCCCACTTCCCAGCCTCATATGGACACACAGACCGGACCTTCCTCTCCCCCCCACCAGCCCCCCCCCGGGATGGTCCCCAATCTTTTCATGCTTGCGCTTGCTGCTGAAACAATTGGACTCTCTCGTCATTGCTGTGGTATGAAAAATAAGAACAGGTTCAGGGAGAGGAGGGGAGAAGGGGGGGACATCAAAATATCTTGGAACAAGAGGGTTGAGATTCCAGGGTGGGGAGGAGGGAGGACTCGGGGGAGCCGAGAGAGAATAGAGAGACACCCGGGCGGAGAAAAAGCGCACATGTTCTGCAGCCTGGGAGCATCCAGTTGTTCAAAACCACCTCTCACGAAGCTGCATTCCCTCATTCAGATCCTCTGATCTCCTATCCCACCCAATATCTTCCTTCCCCCTTTTGGGAAAGAACAACTGGGGGGAAACCCTCAGCAAAAGCCAAACATTACATCAAACCAGCGCATGGTTCTGTGCCATTAATTTTCTTCGAGACCCGTGCTGGAAAATGAACTTGCACAGTTAGATCGCTGTGTTAGGCTGTTGCAGTAAAAGCAAGCAAGCAAGCAAGCAAGCAAGCAAGCAAGCAAGCAAGCAAGCAAGCAAGCAAGCAAGCAAGCAAGCAAGCAAGCAAGCAAGCAAGCAAGCAAGCAAGCAAGCAAGCAAGCAAGCAAGCAAGCAAGCAAGCAAGCAAGCAAGCAAGCAAGCAAGCAAGCAAGAAAGAAAGAAAGAAAGAAAGAAAGAAAGAAAGAAAGAAAAGAGCATCTTGTTGCTTGCTTAAGGAAGGTCAGGTTTTTCTTTTGACATCAGCTTTAGTAGCCCACATCTTCAGATGGAGTGGGCTGCTGCTCGTGAACGCTTGTCCTCCATGAAACATAAGGCTCATGGTTGTTTTCATGAATATAGGAATATGGTTTTAAGGTGGGCATGGGTCATTTCAAAAGCTGTAAGTTATCTCTGGTTAGTCACTCGGGTAAGGAGCCATTACAGTAAACATAATGTAATTAGTAGAGACAACGGTACCTTTTAGGTACAATTAAAAAAATTCTAAGTCACTCAGGTAAGGAGCCATTACAGTAAATATAATGTAATGAGTAGAGACAACGGTACCTTTTAGGTACAATGAGTAATACCTTCTAGCTATTTTCAAGAGTTATTGGTCAAAACCATTTTAACATATTTTACAGGCATTTTAATATGAATTTTCCAGTCTTTATCCCACTTTTTTTTTAATCATTCTTAAGGGCCAGGAGTTTTTTCCGTTTCTATTTTCATAAATATTTGCCAGGTGTCATATCAGAATTGGCCACTAGAGGGAACTGGAGGGTCCTTAAATTGCTGCCAGTAATTAAAATGCAACACGTTCAGAGAATCATTGAATGAGAAGGGGCCTATAAGGCCATCGGGTCCAATCCCTTGCTCAGTGCATGAATCCAAAGCTTAGCAGATCTAATAGAGGGTTGTCCAGTTTTCCCTTGAATGCCCCCAGCGTTGGAGCTCTTACCACCTCCCGAGGTCATTGGTTCCATTGTTGTACTGCTCCAACAATTAATAAGTTTTTTTTCCCTGACATTCAACCTAAGTCTGGCTTCCTGCAGCTTGAGCCCGTTATTATGTGTCCTGTATGAATAACATGAGCTAGCTGGATGGCTCCGTGTCTCAGGGAGAGGTTGGGTGTTTGATCCCCACAGTGGAATGCTGGAAAGGGTCAACTTGACTGCCAGCAACAAGAATAACTGAAATCTGGCTGACAAGAAGTAACTGGAAATGCAATGAGTTTCTTTTTAAAAATAACATTCCATACTCTTCTCTTATTCTTGATGTATTAAATGCACCTCTAATTATTTCCTTGACTGAACCTCAGCTAGCAATTTTGTCATCCAGAATCATCTCTGCCCTATGCTATAGACGTGATCTACCACGGGTGGGGGAAACAGCTTATACTTAAAAAAAAAAGGAACGTGAATATTGTTGAGAGATTTGGTTATTTATTTCCATAACATTCACCAGTAAACTGACTTCTAGATGTTGATGCCCTAATGGAAAGCCTCAGTAGTTCTGCCCTCGTTAAAGCCCTGTTCCTTCATTTAATGAATCATATCAGCAGACAGGAAGC